CAGAAGTTTTACAATTAAATTGCAAGTTCTCCTAGGAGATGAGGTATGGTTGAGGTGAAGCAGAAGATCACTCAGAAAACCTTCTTACCTACATTAGGAGAGACTAGATAACAACAGTTCTCTTCTGACCTGACAGCAAACTAGCAGGGTTCAGAAAAGCTCAGGCTGAACAGATGAATTTAAAGCTCCAGCTAACAAGTGCCATAGCACACATGTAGCCAAAATGACCCACCTGTACTGGAATTCAAACCATTCTTCTGGTGAGAGCAAGAGCAATAGAGCAAAACTCCTGCTGAACAGACTGGGAAAGGTATTTAACTCTTACTGGTCTTACAACTGGCTTTGCTCACTCATGGGAACTAGAAGCTACCAAAGAAACTCTGATTTCCAAGCGAAACTGGAGCAGAAGTTTAAGTCAGCCTTGGGAAGAGGAGACAGAGGTATCACATGATTCCTTGAAATGTCTTGTAGGCACTGGCATTAGATTGCAACGACATAACCATCTCAAAGGTACTGCAGACAGGCTGGTTCCAAATGCAGCCTGGAGCTGGGGGCATTAATTATTCTCTACCTTCTACCATTTAAATACTTCAGAGCAAGAAATCCTGACTTGCATCTTCCCAGGGTGATCACAGGAGTCCACAGCTGCAGGAAGGAGCCAGACTGCTGGAAGTTGTGGTGGTTTGAATTGTTTCTTAGGTGAGCTATCCAAATCATTCCTGGATGACACCCAGACTGCAGGTTCCCTGCATTGAACTGCAATAGTAATTTCTGCAGTGTTTGCACTTTAGCAGTGTCTGCTATGTCAAATGTGCTTTGGTTTAAGGGTAGAAGAGATTTGTCCAAGTGCCAAAGTTGCAAAACTGCAAATCAGAAAAATCAAGCTGCATTTTGGATTCCTATATGCTCTTACTGGATACAAGGGACAGTGTTTCCAGAGTTCTCTCTGCCACAAGTTTTCAAACAGAAGGAAAATGTGTCTGACATTTTAAAGCAAATCATAAACTAAATAAACTCCACAACAGGAATGCAACTAACTTGTTGCATAGGAAGAAGTGCTGTTTGTGCCGGGTTCCCAGTCCAAGCCTTGCTGGGGCAGAGACTCCTGCCTGCAGGTGACAAGATGCAGGGCTGGCCTGGGGTAGATGTGCCCTGCCAGGTTCAATGTCCCTGTGGGGCACAAGCACAATGCACTGGGAATCTCTTTTACACACTCACCAGCCTGACAACAAACCACAGCAGGGCTTGAAATCCCACTTTGAGACAGTTATCAGGGGAAAGGGTCCTTCTCAGAGAACTGACAAGTCCTCCCAGAGCCTGGCCCTGCCAGGCTGTGTCAGGGGCTCCTTTTAGCCTCATGAGACAGCCTCCCACACAACAGAGAGCTCATCCTGTCAGTCGAGCCTGCAGACACTCACAGAGCCCCTCTCCTTGCCTGTGTCCACCTCATTTCAGTCTGCTTTACTGAGCTGATCAGACTTCCCACAGGCACAGGGAGCACACAAGCTTTCAGAGCACCTGCTTCCTCCAGGCCTATCCACTCTTCCCAAGCTCTAATGTTCCCCTTTTATTTGACCAGACTGGCTTGAATGCAGTTTAACCATTCAAAGCTGAAGCCCCCCATGGGCACCCACAGGCCAGCAGACCTCCCACTTTGTTTTCAGGCCACACTGCAGCAGAGATCTGCTCCTTCAATACCATGGGGTGATGTCTGCACACTGCTGGCACTGTGGGAGCTGCAGGGGACCAGGTGCTCAGCAAGCTGGGAAATCTTTGACAGAGGCTGTGGTCCATATTTCCTGTGTCTGCATCACAAGCACAGGGTCACGGCTGCATTGAGACCCAGAAACAACAAGGCCTGGCTAATACAATTCATAAGCTCTGTTTCCTGGGGAACGTTTAAAACACATATTGGAGAGCAGAGATGCCTTGATGAAACTGAAACAGCTTCCAAGCAGATGATTTAAAAGAAGAAAGCAGAGAAGACACAGGCAACAACCATAATTACAGAGCCAGCATAATTAAGAAAACTCATGTTACACTCCTCAGGAATGAGGAAATCCAGCAACCTCCCAAGGAGTCACCTGAGAGCTGCAACTGCTGCAAACAAAGGGGAAACAAACCAGGAGGGAGAGACAGAAAGACCAGACTGAACAGGAAGGTTAGGAAATTGTAATACTCTTCCTGTTCATGCATCATGATGCATCTCCAGGAAGTGGAGGGAAAAGAAATCTTCTCACCTGCAGGGTAACTAGAGAGACAAATCCACCCAAACAGTCCCACCAGGCTTCCACTGAGGATTAATTTGCTCATCAGCTGGGGCCAACTTCTAGAAGAGCATCCTCACAGAGCACACTGCAGACTGCTGAGCTTTGGATGGCCACAGAGAAGAGAGTGCAAAGACACAAAAGGAGGACTATGGAAGGGGCAGGAGGAGAGGGCAGCCCAGACTGGGTGAGGGAAAGGCCAGATGAATGGGGAAAGGAAAGCAGGGAAGTGAATGAGCAAGAGGTGATGAATGGTAGGGAGGGCATGGAACTTTTACACAGGGCAGAGAGCAAAGACAGAGCTTGAATGGGGAAGACTGAAAGATGCCGCCTGAATGGAGGGGGAAAGAGGGAGGAGAAATGAGGCAGGGAGAGCTGAGCAGCACAAAGTGAAACAGTGCAGACAGAACAGCTTCCCACATGGACTTGACAAGGCCTTAGAGAGACAGACAAGTAGCACAGCATGAACTTTAATCCAGGAGCAGAAAAGTTGCCTCGAGCAGACAGTGCTACCATCGTCTGTCCCTGTATAATCCCTCCACCATTGGGCACCTCCTTTGCTCCCAGCCAACAAATTCTCATGAACCAAGAGCAAATCAAACAGCAGCCACCAAAGGTCAGACTGCCCCCATGAAAGAGAGCTGCAGCAAAACTGAACCAGTGACATGGAAACGGCCGATAGGATAAAGCACCAGGATAATTACGAGCAGCAGCCCAAGAGATGCAAGTGCAACACGGCTCCAAGGGCAGGACAAGATGCAGTTCATATGCAGAATATAATGGTTATGAGCAGTGTTATTTTCAGGGCTTTTCTCCTACTTACACAGGAAGGATATATTTTTTCAAAACAAAACTTTTCCAAGCAAAGAGATTTCCTGAGATTTCAGTCATGCTAAGACTTTCCTGAGAATTCACCTTAAATTTGAATACTGGTTGTTTGAATACTGATTGTTTAGAAGTTCCTTCAGATTCTAAAAAGCCAAAGCACTGGACATTGCCATTTTCAAAATGTTTCCTTGAAAACTGTCATTTACATTCCTATTCAGAGTGCCCAGATGGTTCAGCTCAAATCAAATTAAATATTTTGCTTGAAAAGAAAAAAGCACTGTTTCCCTCTGCCTTTTGGTGAATTTCAAACAAAACTCTCTGTATTATCATTCATCCACCTCCTCCCTTTGCACAGCTGGGGAAAACAAAGCATTTTAAAAGGGCACATCTTATTACTTGAACCTCACTGGCAGAGCTGAAAGCTGGATGCCCTCCTCTCCTCTTTGGGTGGCCAATGTCTCTGTTTTCCTCCTAGGTCCATCAGTCACCACTGTGTGAACATGTGCTAAAGCTATTTTCCCAATGCAAAGCAAAGACACAGTGACTCAGCTGAAAAGAGATAGTGTAAGTACCTAAATCATAGTATTTCACTTCATATTTGTTAGGAACAATGATTTAAAAGCTAATTCAGTGTCTGGAGCACGTGTTTTGCTTGCTTATAAATAGACTCCACTAACACATAAGCTAAAATGAGAGGTCATAGAAATGCAGTAGAAGGTAGGACACTCCCTGCAAAAACAAACACAAGGGAAAGAACCCACATTTAAATGTAAGACTTGACCCTACTTTGCCTTTTCAACACATCAGGGAAGTCAAACATAAAAACTAGCTTTTAAAGGGTTGCTAGAGGACCCATGAGGGGCCCATCTGTGCCCCAACTTGAGACTCTCTTCTGCCCCTTTCTTTTTTGATGTTCCTTGCACCTAGCAAACATAACAATACCAATGTGGGTAATTTCAGGCAAAAAATGTGAGTGTCCTGGAGTCAGAGCACAAGCAGCATCTCATCTAAGAAAACACATAAGGATTTCTTTCCCTATTCCATGTCCTGCCAAAGAAAGAACAAAGGAATTCCTGAGAAATCTGGGCTGGATCATTAATCCCTCTCAGAGAGATCCAAAAATATAAGGACAGAGACTTGGGATGTGGCTGTTAGCAATCAGGTCTCTAGCACATAGTACATTTTGAAATGATAATTTGTCTCTTTATGATTCATAGTGATATCACTTCATAAAGAGTTCCACTTTTGAACTGGGAAACAGGAAAAGTAATTCACCCAAGTAATTACCAAATTACAAATTACCAAAGTAATTTTCAGAGACAAAGTAACTCACCCAAGGATGCAAGATGCTTAAAATACTACTGTGGCTGAGATGAGCTACCTGTGCTCCAGCCACCTCCATGACACACTCCTGTATTGCCACCTAGTAACTAACTAATAAAAATTTTAAATTGCCAAATACTGGAGGAGGGACTTTGAAGGAAGCACATGAAGCACACTAAGCTTTGTGATATCCACAAGCAACAAAGAAAGATGTCCAAGAGCAAGAGTCTCTCCTGGAAGCAGCAGGGAGATGAAGACATGGATGTGGGTCTGTGCAGGCACACACACAGCAGGGGCAGGGCTGGGGGACAGAAAGGCTGCTCTGCCAAAGCTCACAAGCTTGAACACTGTAGCTTCACAGGCCAGCTGAGCCCAGAAGAACCATTACTGCAAACAGAAGAGTTTTGGGTTTCCATCTGCCAGCCTGGGCACAGGGAGATCATGTTACGTGTGGCACTGGGGGGAAGGGAGAGAAAATATGATTCATTCTCAATCTAGCGAGAGGAGCGAGAGCTGTGCAGCTGCTGCAGTGCAAGCAAGTCCTACCAGCACTAGCTATTGCTTTGGGACAAGAGATCATACCATTTCAGCCTGCTTCCTGACTTCTGCTCCATCCCAGCTGCTCTCCTCTTGCTTTAGTGCCTGCCTGCCGGAACAGCTATCTTTCTGGAAAAAATCCAAACACAACGAGGAGAGGTTACATGTGCCTGAGGGAAGTGACACAGGGCAGGCCACTGCTTAGTCTAGAAGCATTCAAGCAGGGTCAATACCTACTGACAAAAAAATAGATAAATACACACATACACACTATACAGGGGAAGGATTTACCTGTATGGGACAGCCAGATGCTCAGGCATGCTTGGGGCATCTGGAATCTGCATCTTTGGGAAGCTGGCAGCTCTTACATCTGAATCAGACATGCTCAGGGACTTGCAGTGCCTAAATCTGACAAGTTATCCTACTTCCAGGAAGGGCTGCTGTAGCACCCATGCTGCTAGGGACCAAACCAACCCCCTTCTCCCCATCCCACATCCAGCCTGGGGATTCCAGTTCTTTCCTGTTTCCCAGATGACAGTGTCCCATATCAGACAGCAAAGGCAGTGCCACTGCCACAGGCTGGTCAATCTTATGCAAATGAAATCAGGGTAATTGGGACAGTTACAATGAGTCCCTGACAATGTTTGCCTTTGTGCATACCAGTGGTAAATATAGACTGAGCTGCTTTCTAAGGATGGGGTGAGGGGAGAGCTGCACCCAGGGACAGCAGCTCAGCTTCTCACAGGGATGATGAGGAAGTAAGTGCTGTTTAAACACAAGAATGCTCTCAAAAATATCGACCTGATAGCAAGGAAAGATGCTGCAAATAAAAGTCACTGTCTGGAAGTCTCAGAAATACTCAGGGAAGCATAGCTACTGTGGCAGGTCTGTGGAGCTGTCCCCTGCATTGCAACCCTCACTCCACAGACAGAACACTTCCAGAGCATTCATCCACTAAGGATCTCAGCCCACAAGAGTCAGAGCTCCCACCAGAGCCACAACTGAACATGGCACAAACACCCCAACCAGAGCAATTGCTGGCAGTCTCCAGGCTGCAGGAGCACCATGGCTGGTCAGGCTCAGTCACTCCTGCACTGAGAGCTTTGCCCCATGAATCTCATAATATAAGCTCTACCTTTGTTGTAGCCCTGCAGGGCCCATTGCAGCAGCAGTGGAAGGAATCTAAACAAAAAGCAATGGCCCCCTGAAATCCTGTCATGCAAACAAGACTCTTCCCACCCATTGCCAAAGGCCTGAATGGAAAGGGACTGAACACCCCCCACCCACCCCTCCCTGGTGGTCTTTTTGTCTCGTGACCTTCCCCACACAAACACAACCCCACAACAATCAGACAGGCAACATAATGTGCCAGCGCCGGCTTTCCCAGCCCTTCAAGGCAAGCTGGGGAGGGGAGGGGGGAGAGCTGGGGAGAGCTGAAAGGAGCTGGGGATGACTAACAGATAGGATGGGCAAGGAAATACCAAGCAGTGTTTTAATTTCTACTTGTACATTCCCATGAACTGGGATAAAAATAATTTTATAATGAAAGAAACAAAAGAAATGTCATCTCAAATGGTTTAAAAGGGACATGGGAATACCAACCAGTGAGATTTCCATAAAAAAATACATAAATAAATCCAAGAGTGGTTCTAAACACTGTGAACATCTCTCAGCATCCCCTTCAAGTAGCAAACAAAATTGAGCCCTTTGGTGCAAACTCTGCTGGTTTTACTTGGCTATCTTTATGATTTAGAGTCTGAGGTGAATTAGATACAAAGGTTTCCCTCTAGATTGGGAGAAGACATTTTTGCAACTGCTGTAGCTGTAGAAAGCATCAACACACATGGAAACCCTCCCTGGTGTGATGGCTTCAAAGCACAGAAAGTTTCTGCCAGTGTGTCCTGAATATGGAAAAAGAGAGTCATCACCTGTGCTACTGACAGCCAGCAGCAACTGCACCTCCAGGGCCCAGGCTGCCCCTGCAATGTAACAGATACCTTTGGCTTACTGCAGGACACATATCACCTTTGGGAAAGAGCAACAAGAGTTTCCAAGGGCTTCCCAGGAGCAGACCAGGAGACCAACCAGGTAAGGAGAAACTCCTAACCTTCTGAAATGCCATGGAATACTCCCATGTTCCCTGTGCGGACACAGGAAAAAATACAGACTCCACAGGAAAGCAAACTTGATAAAATAAAATGAAATATAATCTCTCAGAGCCTGGATTCAGTGAGCTTAGCAGGGCCCTCAGCTAGGTTTCAGGGCACTGGAAATGTATGCCAAGCACCTTTACAGGGAAAGGAGGCCATGCTTTTGCCACAAGCTGAGATCTGTGTCCCATGAAATCATGGCAGCTGAGGCAGCAGCAGAAAGCAAAGCCACAGGAAAGCACTTGTGTGATTTACAGACACATTAACAACCTGGGGACCCTGACATTGTAAGAAATGACATCTCAACTACCCCTGCCAGCACTCCCACTACTCTGTTAGTTTTATCACTGCCTTGATTAAAGCTCTTGGACCACACAGTGGTCTGCACCTGACCAGGGATGGTGCAGCTGATGTAAACAGACAGAAAGTCTCCTCAAAGACCACGTGCAGCAGCTGGGTGCAGGAGGCCTCTCCCAAACCAAAACCAGACCATGTCTGGCCCGATGTACTGGTCAGAGGTCATGGAGCTGCAACTGACCTTGCCCATGTCCAGATATCAACTGGAGTAACTGGAAGAGCAGCAGCACCAAGCTTGCACACATCTGGCAAACTTCCCACAGCAAGGATACTGTCTCCTGCCAATCCGCTCCAGCCTTAATCCTCCATGGAAAGATCCCATCAGCACTGTGCTAAGAGGCCAGACATTAACAATTAACGATAGTGAAGATGACGGAGGAAGGGACAGATGGAGAACAGATATAAGCAGGCTCTGCTCATCAGCTCATCACACTGACTTGGAGGAGCTGGACTGGAGATATAGACAGGATTTTTCGTTTTGGTTAACCGTCAGTAAAGTACTACACATCAGCATGCTTGGGCGAGCTAGAAAGCAAGCCCATGGCCATCGCCCTCTACTCTCAGCATTTCTTTCTAGAAAATCTCACTGCATAGAAAAATGTTCATTGTAGCAAGTATGGAAGTACAACAGACTGGCTGCTAGCTGAGATTAATTCCTGTCCTATTTTATTGCATGAAAAAGGTAATTATACTATACCTTAATCTTATTATGTCAATTAAAATTATATTACTGTTTTAATTGACCAGTATTGCTTGCTCCAGTTTTCAACTCTACAGAGTTTGGAGGCAGCTAAAGTGAAAATTGTTTCAGAAACTGCTGCCTGGTGTCACCAGAAGAAGCAGGTCCTGGCGAGTAGCTTCTCCATTCACTCTTCCCTACCCAGGCCTTGTGGTCCTGGTCTCAGACAAGCTGAAGTGAGAATCTGTCCTACACCAACGAAAAGGAACATTCCAGATAACTTTAATCTGCGGTGGGGGGCTGATGGGGAAGGTGGGAAATTTCTTGAGGTCATTTTCAGCCCTCCACATTTCACTTTTCCTTCCTCCTTAAGCCCCATGAGCTGTGTGCAGAGCTGTGATCTCAGGCAGCACAAGCAACACCAGCCAGAGCTCAGGGCACCAGAGCTCAGTGGCAGCAGAGCCCAGTGGCACCAGAGCTCAGTAGCAGCAGAGCCCAGTGGCACAGAGCTGGTGGTTCCACTGACCTGTCCACAGTGCAATGCTGCCTTCTGCAGCCCCAAGGAGTGACTGGTACCCAAAGCTGCCAAATACCTTCAGCTGCCACTGAATTCATGGACTTGAGAAACGACTCATGACAATCTTATTTGTTAGACCAAGCCTCCAGAAGAAAAGCAGCTGAGGTTTGCCTACATACTTACTGATGTCCTTCAAGGAAACACAGCAGGTTTCTTACAAGTTGAAAGATGTGTTTATACTAACCCAGAGCAGGCTGCAGATCCCTGCAATCACAACTAGCCAATTTCAGGGCCACGACATCACAACCAGGCACCCCTGCTTGCCTCTGGGGGAGTTTTTTTTCAAATGCCACAATGAGAGAAAGAAATGTCACAGAGGTACCACCCACAGTCTCAGCCACTCTACACTGGTACTTCAGAACCTGGTTCTATTCCTGCTGCCCACACAGCAAATCTGCCTCTTTCAATGGCCTTCTCAGAAACACAGCAAACCACGGCCATTGCCTCAGGCTGCAAAACTGAGACACTGTTCAGTCTAACGCTGGCACACATCCCTTGAGAACAGACCAGGCAGAGGTGGATGCAGTACCCACAGAGCAGCACGTTATAACAGTGACAGACTTTCCACTGCCAAACTCTGCTGTGCTGAAATCACCAATATCTGGAGGGGTGGTGGAAGTGGAAGGAAGACACAAGTAAAAGATTTTTTGTCTGACATGAAAGATGCTGGCTGGTAGCAAGGCTTGGATCCAGCACTTCACCTTAGAAAATATTAAAATAAATCACAAAAGCCTCAGGGGAAGGGGCCATTTGAGCCTGTATATTCCTGTCACCTTGGCACAACTTTATGGTGCATATCACAATATTCTCCCTGTGTATTTGTTACTGTGCCCTTCAGCCCAGGCTTGTGGAAGTGATGAAAAGCTGCAGTATTTGCCTCACAGTGCTAAAAGGAAAATCCAAGAAGCACCAATGTTTTCAGAGTGTAACTCTGCAATATCTGAGGGTCATCACCACTTCATGTGTTTGTAAAATGCAATTTATCACACAAATGCTCTGCCATGGAAAGGGCGTACAGCTTCCTTTAATGAAACCTTCAGCAAAAGAAATTTAATATTTCAATGCCTGTATACTGAAAGAAACACTGTAAAATTAAAATCAGTGGAAGTCCTTACCCTTCTGAAACCAGCAATGAAATTAGCATGGGGCCCAAAGGAAGCAAAGGAGGCCCCTTCCAAGAGGCCAGGATTTAATTTTGTGTTTAAAACCCCACAGTGGCAGATCTGTACTTATTTTAATGACCTACCAAATCTTTTCAGTCCTCTGTATCCCTCAATGAAAGCCTAGTAATGAAAAATTTTCTACTAAAACTTGGCCTTTCCTGAAAAATAATATCTGAGCAGATCTCCAAAGACAGCTATTTCTA